CTTGTTGTTGGACACAGGTTGTATTCAACTTTTCATCTCACATCTTAGGCTGCAAAAGACACTTTGGAACATGAATATTTGTATAAAATGGATAACGTTTCCTTAGACCCCCTAGCAGTCGTACTACTGATTATGAATATGTGACGTAAGTGATTTTCAAACTTCGGCATGCGTCAGCATTGCTTGAGGGGCTCAGTGAAACACACAGACCCATCCCTAGAGCATTGGATTCAGTAGGTCTAGCGTGGGGCCTGAGTGTTGCATTCCTAACAAATTTCTAGGGGAGGCTGACATTGGAAGAGGGCTTTCTCTCCTTCTAATGCTTCCACAGCAATTTGTGCCTCTTTAGAACACTGAACACAATCTGCCTTGTGTTAGAATTAGGATGGCATGTATTCATTCCCCCCACCCCCCAGAACAGGAGCTCTGAGAAGTAGATTCTATTTCATTTATCTTTTCACTAAAGTGCTCAGCAGGAGAAGTGTACTTTTTTAAAAAAGCATGTTTTGTAATGTCACCTAATTTCCTTGTTAGTCTCTACCTTGTTGTATTAATGCTTCTCCATGTTCCCTCATCTTTATTATTTGCAGACACTGAAAAGTTGTTGCCACTCAAATTTGCTTCCCTTTTAAGGCATAGCTGCCATTTTTTCACCTCTGGGTTTTATACTTTGTCTTGTCATCATCTACTCTTGATCTAAATTGTCCTCGGGTGGGATGAAGATGGAAGGAGATGGTTGGGAAAGATAGGATGGGCTGACCTAATTTAAACAGCGCCAAAAAGACTTAAGCCTAGATCTTAAAATTAATTTTACCACTAGAAAGCTTGAGATCAAAATCAGAATGAGATGTTTGTGAAAGAATTTAGAAAGTAATAAAAACCTTCTCTAACTTGTGTAATTATTAATGTGAAAACCTAGGAAAGGAAAACACTTAAAAACTAACTTCCCCCCTGGCTGGTATAGCTCATTGGATTGAACGCAGGCCTGCAAACCACATGATCGCGGTTCAATTCCCAGTCAGGGCACATGCCTGGGTTGCAGGCCAGTACCCAGCAGGGGACACACGAGAGGCAACTATACATTGATGTTTCTCTCCTTCCCTTCCTCTCTAAAAATAAATAAATAAAATCTTAAAAAAACAAAACCAAAAAACTAACTTCCCCAACTTTATTTCAGTCATACTCCAATGACAAAAATTAGACATTCAGATAAAAATGAAGAGACTAAAATTATATAAACTTAGAACATTTAGACTGAAATTAGGCAAGCCCCTCGTGAATCTATCACAGAAGCCAGAAAGGCCCTTTCGACTCAGATTTGAGGCATTTTCACTCCCCATGGTAACAGAGTAAGAGATTATGAATGAACTGGCCCTCACGGTCTCCCGACATCTTTAGGTGAGACTCACTCTGGTTTATTTCACCTGAATTGACAACCTCCTTCTTCAACCTATGTATCTTATCTAAAACAGAATCCACAACCCATTTTCAAGATTTTTGTTTGGCATAAGATCAACGTCCCAAGGAAGTACTTGTTTGCAATTATATATATATGAAATGCTTACCATTGGTCCTGTTGACAAAGTTTTCCCAGCCACCCCTGGTAGGATGAAGCTTGCCTTCTAGCAGATTCCTCTAGAAAAGGCTTGTGAGTGTAGTATTCTTTGAGTTCTGGCACGTTCAGAACCGGTTTGCTGTAGACCTGCTGGTTGCAGAACAGCTTGGCTGGGTATAAAATTCTTGAGTCATATTTTCTTTCTTTGAGTTTAAAAAAAATAGTACTCCATAGTTGCCTTTCTTTCTACATTGATATTGAAAAGTCTGATATTGACCTAATAATTTTTTGCCATTCATTCATTCACATTTTATTATTTTACCTACAGATTTTCTCTTTGATAAAGTCTAATAATTGTACTAGGAGATATATCTTGTATTTGAGCATTGTAGGTCAATTTTCCCAGGTACTTGATGAGCCTTATTTATATATATATATATATATATATATATATATATATATATATATATATATATATTTGGATCTTCTTTTATTTCTGGAAAGTTTTCTTGGATTATAGTTTTAAATGTTAGTTTTGTTTTTCTTCTTCAAGGGCTACAGTTATATATATATATATATATCATATTTATATATTCCTCTTTACCTCTATATTTATACACAAATATATATTTATATATATTCCTCTTTGCCTCTCTTCCGTTTCAACCACTTTCTGACACTTTTTTACTTCTTTTCATTTCCTTAGTTGTTCTCTTGGCTTTATTTACTATCTCTTATTAAATTTTAATTTGAATCTATCCTTTGGGCACCTTGCAATTTAGTCCTCATTTCTGATATGGCTTTGCCTTTTTCCTCCCATTTCTTTCCTATGTTAGATCAACTCCCATTTTGTTTTTTCTGCTTTTTGTTAATTTCCGTTAATGCCAGATTTCTGATTCAAGAGTATTTCTTTCCCTCCATATCATCTCCCTTTAATGCTCATATCACCCACTGATGCTTTCAGAGATCATCCTTTTTTCATAGATCCAAACACTGATGTCAAAAGAGGTGAAATGCCTTGCTCAAAGTCACAGTCCAAGCTGGTAGTGAAATTTAGGCTTGATTATGTTTTCTGACTGCTTTTTCCCCTCCATGCTGTAATCAAACTGGGGTCTCTTAGGAATGAGCTAAATGGCAAAATTCAGCTCTGTCTTTCATAGATAAAATTTTAGTGTTATATCTGAAATATGATATAAAAATGCAACATGTAAGAATTCATTTTTATGATTGCACATAATGTGTAACCAACTTTTATAATTCTGTATGTGTATAGAGAAACATTAGATACTGAGAAATAGATTGGGATTCACCAGAGATACAGAAAAGAAGTAGCAATTATCCATCCCTGCTATTGATCTTTAGGTGACTAGCTCAGATGACTCATCCAAGTACTTTCTTGGTTCAGTTCTTTGAAGTATTTTGAAAGCATTTGTCACTGTCACCAAGATGTGTTCTTCAGAAAGCATTTTCTTGAACAGGAAAAAGTATTTTTTACCCTGAGTTAGTGCATACTTTGATTGCCTGCTATGTAAAGTAAGGTCTGTGGATCATGAGCACCCACATCCTTGAAAGTTTGTTGGAAATGCAGAATCTCTGGCCCCATTCCAGATCCACCGAACTAGAAACAACGTTTTAACAATATCCCGAGGTGATTCACATACACATTATAGGTTGAGGGGCCCTGATCTAAGAGGGTCTGCCAATAGAGTGTGGAGTAAAACTGAATGTCTCGTATTTAATCACCTTCTTCTTAAAAGTCCACTAGTCCACTCCCAGATGATAACTTTAAAATATAAAATATAGATTCTATAATTTTTTTAAACCTCAAACTTAACAGTATTTTTTTCAGTAGATGATCCTCATAGATGTTTCATAGATTCAAGGGATGCTGGAGCAAGAACAAGCCTTGGAAACCATGAGTCTAAACTGCATTCACCCAAAGGCAGATCCCTCCTTCTAATCTACTACATTCCTTTGTGGCCTCTGACTGAACATTTCCAAGAAAGAAAGCTCACCAAATCACAAGACACTATCATTCTTTTCTGTTCACTGTCACACTCGACGTCCTACTTTAGTTCTATCACCTGCACCATGGCGACAGTGTTGTAAACTTCTGCCTCAATCTTTCTGACCATCCTAGAGACAAAATTATCTTCCTGAAATCATATACCAACATATGTGGTACTTGAAGAAAAGGCTGACTTCCTGATCAATTCGAAATTGTCCACTCTATATAACCCCCTTTCACTTTCTCTGGTCTAATCGAACAGATCAGTTATTTATCCCAAGATTCCAGTTCTGTGCCAGCCCCACTCCCTACTTTAATCCTGTTCCCTCTGTCACGACTCTTGCTCTCTGCTTTGCCTGTAGAAATTCCATTCATTTTTGCTTCTCCTTAGCCCCCCAGCTCCTGGATATTCACTGATAGCAGCGACTATTCTTTTGTGTTTCTTTTCTCTGATTTTTGTGAAAGTAGAGAAGTTTGCTTTGTTTGCCTAGACTCCTAATTAAAGGGTGAACTCATCTAGAACAGGAATCTAGTCCTTTTCGAAGCCTCTTTTAGCACTTGGCTGCTCTCTTTATGTTCCTCTTATGAGGGGCAGATTTCTGTCTGTACCATCACCCAAAGTTCCCTGGAGAGTAACCTGACCAAAAATGTGTCCTTACTGTCTGAGATCTCATTGTCAGGATCTCATTAGAACGCCCCCGGAGACAGAGGCACTGTAGTTAAAATTCACAAACATCCATAGAGATCTTACCATACTCAAATAATTTTGCTAGGTGCTGGTATGGATATAGATATAAGAAAAAAGCAAAGTCCCAGACTGCACGTCGTAATGGAGAAAAATAAAAAACAACTTTGTCTTGTTGAAGGCATCATGTTATTTAAAGAGAACACTTCCTCCAGATTTGCTTACCTGCTTAACTTGGGATTCCCTCCCTCTCTCTCCTCCCTCCCCGCCCCCCCCACCCCCGCGGGCGGAGGTAGGACATTTAAGATATGGGACCCTACAGTGCAGTGCAGTCTTCCCCTCCAAACGAGTTTCGCAAGCCACATTTTAAATAATGCTGAGAGTTCTAAAGACTGTTGTTTACATATTTCTTTTCCGCATTAGACTGTGGACTGCTTGAGAGCAGAGTTCATTTCTTCTTTCCAGAAAGACCACTGATTGACATTTAGTAATGAATGATGAGAGAGCTTGCTGTGCGACAAATTCTTAAAAAGGCTTTACGTATATCCATTTAGTACACGAACTTGTTCGAGCGAAGGAATCGATCCTCTCCATCTCCTTTCCATCCGGAGATCCCCGACCTCAACCAACTGCCCTCGGCCTTCTCCCACCTGCCAGGAGTTCCCACCCCGCCCCGCCCACTAGCCTCCTCGCAGCCAGCAACCGGTCGCACATCGTGACGTCACTGGAGCGCGCCCTCGCCACAGCGTTTCTAGCGCCGTGCGTGTCAGGTGGTTCTAACTTCCCTGGTAGCTGTCTGTCCCTTAGCTCCAGTTTCTCAGATCCGGAGGCCCCAGGCGTCACAGGCTCTGCAACATGTCGATGCTGGCTGAGCGTGAGTGTTGAGTGCGGAGGCCCAACCGGGACTCGTGGGCGAAGGTTTCGGGTTACGCCCCCTACGGGACCCGGTAACTAGGAGTGCGGGTCCCTAGCGCTCAAAGTGTTGGAGGATGCCGCGGGCCGGGACACTGGGAAACTGGGTTCGGTTCGCCCTGCCTGCGGTGGAGCTTTCCCAGCCCAACCTTCCTCAAACGTTAGCTACGGGTTTGCTAGTGAAAGAGACTGCGAGTTCAGAGCTAAGCACGCGCGCGGTGAATTTGAATGAGAACCGGGACACTGGTCTTGGGAAACCGAACTGATTATTTACACTTCCCTGGGTTAGTTAGAGCAGGTTAGGTTAGAAGGAGGAGGTTACGCCTGCAGAATCCCCTTAGGCACTGAAATCTCATTCTCGAAGATGCATCGAACCTAGAAATAGAAATGCAAAGGAATTAGAAGCATCAAAGACTGGAAGTAGCCTGTTTTAGGAGATGCAGGGCTAAGTAAGACTGTGGCGGTTTTGACTGTTGGAATTAGCACTCTTCTGTGATACGAGTGTTGGCCGAGATGCCTCATCTGTCTCCTTTGCCTTTTGACACTTGCGGTCACTTCGTCAAGTTCATTAACTTCCTTTCTGGAGCTGCTGTGTAACTTCTGAATGGTTCCTGTAACTAAGATCGCCTGCCGCCAGAGGGCGGTCGTGCTTTGGTCATTACTTTGCAAGTATGTGGTGACCAATGAAGAGAAACAACTTAATAGACCAACAAATACCTTAATAGACTTGGGGATTTTGTGAAATAAATGTTGTCAACATCCTCGTATCTAAGGGGATGGAGGAATGTGAGCACAGAACGAAATGGGTTAGGCTTCATTCCAGATTATAGGAGCAGAAATTAACGCTCAGAGGGAAAAAAAATCACCCCAAGTCATTAACCTAGAAATTGACAGTATTGATCACGTTATCTCTATATCTTTACATTATTGCCACTAGTACCAGCAGTTTTCTACTGTTTTCAAATAGGGACTCATAGAAAGGAATACGTTTTAGTTAGATGGTGACCTTAGAGCCTAGCTCTCTGAAGTCTCTTCCGGTTTTAGTGTTCTTTGATATGGGCTGAATTCAGTAGGCACTGGGGAACATTGTTCCAGGCTCTGCTATTCATTTATATCTATTTCCGCGACTAGTTTTCTATGGGGCTTTTAAAAAACCTTATTTATTATCTTCATCACTAGGATGATTAAAAAAGCCAGTGAAACGTGAATGTGAAAGTAGTTCAAAGTATGAAGTAGTACACAGGTGTAAAGTCTATTTGTACATATCAGTAATTCAAATTGCATGATTTTAAGGGAATATTTTCAGTTCTCTCTGAGCCATAACTCCAAATTTTCAAATCTTTGTCGTGATAATATATAATATTTTATGTGTTTTTAGAAGTTTTGCAAAATTAATGCCTATGACATTCTTGGGATTAGATCTTTTGGGCTACTGTTCCTATTTTAAATATGAGAATATGAAAACACAGCCAAGTTCTTTTTTATTTTATTTTTAAAATTTTATAGGATTTATTGGGGTGACTTTGGTTAATAAAATTATACAGGTTTCAGATGTACGGTTCTACAATACATCATCTATATATCACCCAAGGTCAGGTCTCCTTTGGTCACCATATATCCCTTCCTTACTGTCTTCCTCTACCTCCCCTGATCCCCCACTTCCTTTGGTAATCATCATACTGTTCTCTGTGTCTGTGTGGTTTTTTGTTTGTTTGTTTGTTTGTTTGTTTGTTTGTTTAATTCCTTCACATTTGCACCCAGCCTTCTAAACCCCCTCCCCTCTGACAGCTGTCAGTCTGTTCTCTGTATCTATGAGTCTGTTTCTGTTTTGTTTGTAAGTCTCTTTTTTTTTTATTAGATTCCACATGTAAGTGAAATCATATGGTGTTTGTCTTTCTCTGACTGGCTTGTTTCACTTAGCATAGTAGTCCCCAGGTCCATCATGTCACAAAAGGTAAGATTTTCTTTTTTTTTATGGCCCAGTAGTACCATTGTGTAAATGTACCACAGCTTTTGTATCCACTCATCTACTGATGGGCACCTGGGCTACTTCCAAATCTTGGCTATTGTAAATAATGCTGCAATGAACATAGGGGTGCATATATTTTTTCAGATTAGTGTTTCGAGTTTCTTAAGATATATTCCCAGAAGTGAAATTGTTGGGTCATAAGGTGAATATGGTGAATATGTTCTCCCATTCCTTGGTTGTCTTTTTTATTTGTTGATGTTTTCCTTGGCTGCGCAAAAACTTTTTAGTTTGATGTAGTCCCATTTGTAGTCCCATTTGCTTTCCTTGCCTGAGGAGATATAGCAGAAAAAAAATATTGCTATGAGAAATGTCTGAGATTTAACTGCCTGTGTTTTCTTCTAGGGTTTTTATGGTTTTGAGCCTTACATTTAAGTTCTTAAAATTTTGAGTTTATTCTTGTGTATGGTGTAAGAAGGTGGTTTAGTTTCATTTTTTGCATGTATCTATCCAGTTTTTAACACCATTAATTGAATAGACTGTCTTCACCCAATAGTTTGTTCTTGCCTCCTTTGTCAAATATTAATTGACCGTAAAGCTGTGGCTTTATTTCTGGGCTCTCTATTCTATACATTGATCTATACATCTGTTTTTATGCCAGTACTGTGCTTTTTAATTACTATGGCCTTGTATAACTTGATATCAGGTAGTGTGATTGCTCCAACTTTGTTCTTTTTTCTCGAAATTGCTGAGGTTATTTGTGGTCTTTTGTGGTTTTATATAAATTTTTGGAATAATTTTTCTAGCTCTGTGAAAAAATATTTGTATGTATCTTGATAGGAATTATATTGAATCTATAGATTGCTTTGGGTAGTGTGGACATTTTAAGGGTGTTGAATTTTCCTATCCATGAACACAGTATATGCTTCCACTTATTTGTATCTCCTCAATGTCTTTTTTTAGTGTCTTATAATTTTCTGAGTATAGGTCTTTTACAACCTTGGTTAAATTTATTTCTAGGATTTTTTATGCAATTGTGCATTCACTCACATATTTATTGAGTGCCTGTCATGGACAGTGCTTTTTACTTCTTGCAGCAAATATGAAAGAATAAGATACAAATAAGACCATAGGAGATTATGGTCTAATAAGAAACATAAAAGATGGATACAAATAACCATAATATAGAAAAATGTTAATTAAATACCAAAAAAGAAGCAGGTAGTTTATTCTGAAAATTTATAGGAGTTGTATTACTTTAGGGCATTTCAGTGAGAAAAAGGAAGGCATCGTTAGTATCTGCAGACCGTATGTGGAAGGCACAGTGGACTTTCTCCCTGGGACCAAAAGACTGTAAGCACTGACATCAGTAGGACCTTTGTTTGTATAAAGGCTCTGGATTTTGCCTGGGGAAGTTAGGCATGTTTTTGTCTCTAAGCCTCAGATTTTCTCATCTGAAATGAGGAGGTAAGAATATCTGCCTTCACTGGTTACTGTGGAAATTGAATCTGGTAACGTGCAGGCAGCATTTGGCACATAATGCACAGCACCAAAAGCTATACTGGCGGCTGCTGCCGATGCGACTGACCTGCTGCTGCTGCTGCTGCTGCTGGTGTTGGCAGGTGTTTTAATAAGGTGCTGCCTTCAGTTGACTAGGGAAAGCCCAGTTGATGGTATATCTAGCTATTTTGATTTTTCACCTTTGGAGGGAATAGGAGTATCTTTATTTTTGTCTTATAAAGTCAAAGTCAGTTTGTAGGTTGTGAATATAGTTATTGGGGAATCCAGAGTAAATGATCCAATCTGGTGCTGAATATGATACCTGTATCTAATAAAACATAATATATGCCATATTTTATGCAAGTATGTATGTATGTATTAGGTGTATATGTATTTGTGTGGTATTTTCCAGGTTTGAAAGATAAGGTGCTAAAGAGGTACTTTGTCATTTTGCAGGTCGACGGAAGCAGAAGTGGGCTGTGGATCCAAGAAACACCACATGGAGTAATGATGATTCCAAGTTTGGCCAGAGAATGCTGGAGAAGATGGGGTGGTCTAAAGGAAAGGTATTTTGGAGAAGAGCAAAAGAAGTCTGAGCCATGCAAGGAGATTACAAGTCAGGAGAATGCACCTTTCTTAGGAGACTGAGAAATATGTATGATTTGGATCAATAAGTAATTTCGGAGGAATAACTAAACTGTAGTGAGCTTGTGATGATCAAGTTAGAATTGAACATACATGTCAGCTCTCTTTGTTTACATTTAAACTGCATGATTAGCATCTTTCATAGACAGGCCTTTTAATTTTTTGCAGCTAACCATCACAGTTTTATGTTGCTAACAGTATATTTTATCCCCTTTTATAGCTAGACTACACATTTTCTTCTTTCCCTCACATTCCAGTTATTCCTGACTCAAATAGGACTTATACTGATGTCTCTACACTTGAATGGTTCTTGTCAGGGTCTTTAAGTGATGATCTCGTTGCCACATCCAATGGACCCTTTTTGGTCCTCACGTTACTTAATCCCTTAGCAGCACTGGACGTAGCTGACTACTTCCCTCTTGAGATACACTGCCCTGACCCCCACAGTTCTGCTTCTTCTTGTCGTTTTTCCTCCTGCCTCACCAGCCCCTCCTGCGTTGGCCACTGGCTCTTCATCCTCCAGGTGGTTGAGCTTTGGAGCCGCAGGCCCCGCTCTGTACTCTGCTCAGACGAGCTCCTTTTTGTTGTACTCTGCTTTAAATTACATAAATTCTGAGATTATCTAATTCTTTTACTTTTCTGTATCTAGCCTAAATCTGAACTCCAAGTTTATAAATTAGTCAAGTTTATCTTGATCCCCCCAGATCTTTTTCTTCTTAAGTTTCCCCATTTTTTCACACTGTTCCCCATCTGCCCACTTACTCAAGATCAGAACCTGGGAGTGACCTTGATCCCTCCACCTCTCACTTTCTCCATCCCAACTGTTACTCCCTCCACCCAGGACATCGTCCCGCCGCCGCTGCCGCTGCCGCCCACTCTCATCACTGCATCTGCTTTCTCCTTCCCCTCCCCTGGGCCTTGTGCCATACAACGGCCAGAATGAGCCTTTAAAAATAAAGAAGTTATATCTTGTCATTCCTTTGCTTAAACATTCAGTGATTTCCATTGTTTTAAAAAATAAGATCCAACTTTCTACTGTAATTTCCACGGTCCCATGAGGTCAAGCCCCTTCATATCATCTGATTTTCCTCTTCATTCACTCTGCCGAAGCCACCCTGGTGGTTGCCTTTTAGGTGCTGCCGCACACCACGCTCTCTGGGACGCCTCACAAATGAGTGTTCATTGGTTCAGGGGACTTGGCATCCCCTTCTTCTTTCTCTGTATTGCCTATAAGATTATTTAATGGACAGAGCCATAGATTCGTAAGAACTCTATGGGCTTCTAGCAGTTTTGTGGTGGAACTCTGATTTGGAGCCTTAGAAAAGGCATGTTCTTCAAAGTGTTTACATGGAGGTCTTAAATAAAGTTGAAGAACCAGTGTTCATTATTGTAAGTGCATTTTTCACATTACAGACACGTCCTGTAAGAATCCATTAGACTATGTTCTCTTTGAGGGCCCACATAGTGCCTTATTCCTAGATGTTTAGTAATTAACTGAATGGTTGATAAGGGGAGATACGTATAGTCACTCTTGACACCTGATAAAAAAGCTAACTCTCTTTGTGTTTCCTCTCCACAGGGTTTAGGGGCTCAGGAGCAAGGAGCCACAGATCACATTAAAGTTCAAGTTAAAAACAACCACTTGGGACTTGGAGCCACAATCAGTAATGAAGTGAGCAACAGTTTGCCTGCTGAGGGTTTTCCTTGCATAATTGACTTTTTTGTTAATGTATAAGTTTTAAGTCAATCCAGTTGATCAGTTTTCAACTACTCAGTGTGCATCCTTCATGTTTTGGTTCAGTGAAAAGCCTGTCGTAGCTCAGCTGGCTCTTGGTCAGGTGTCCGGGCCTCACTTTTCCTGGCTGTCTCCATGGGGTTCTTCACTTGCTGATGTGTAAAAGATGTAAACTGGTTTTATGCTAAACTTTTCAAAAAGTGTTCTTTTTATAGAAGTACTCATTTCAGGACAGAAAGGAGTTTTTTACCTTTACCTGTGTTCTAATATTAGCTTATTAAAAGTTGCTGACATTTAGTTTTAAAAAAAATGAAAAGATTCTTCTGCAAGAAAGTGGTGTTCTTTCCCTGTACTGTTGTCTGTTTCCGACTCTTGGTGCACAGCAGGTAAATTTATTCGTACTTCCCCTTAGGCACTGGCACTTTGAAAATATAACACTGTAACTAAAAATCAATGGCCGGTCCTCTGGTGCTTTTCATTTTCAGTATTATTATTTGCTTTGGAAAGTGTCTAAGCTGAAAGCTCTGGTCTTAAACTTTGACAACCGACAGAACCTGGTAGAGAATCTGGAGAATTACTCTAAGTAAACCAAATTACTTTGATTAGTTCAGCAGCCCTGAGCAGTAGACTAAGTCAGCTAAAATTTTCTGGACTTCAAACTAGAATTTTAAGTAACTGAAGATGGAGGTTGATTTCGAAGGTAGTTGAGAAATACATATACAGAGGTACTTAATTTTTTAGGAGAAGCATTGCTCAGTAAACCTATTTGCCAAGACTTGACCTTAAACAGTCTTAAAACAGTGCGCATGAGGCAGGTCAATACCTTGCTTCCCACTGGTGTAGGTTGTCTTGGAGATATTCATTCTCTCTCAAAGTCTGATGCCCTTTGTTATAATGAACTTATTAGCTTATCACCTTACAAATGGGTGCCGATTGGTTCATGGAACTTGAGGCCTTCCTCCTGCCTTCCTCAGTGTTATTTTGTGAAATAGGGTTCCCTGCCGGCAGACAGAATTGGGCAAAGTATTTGAAGCTCAGACCACCAAAGAAGAGAGTCCCAAGTCTATCACAGCTTTTTACCTTTGACTTACATAATTTTCCCTTAGAAAAACTTTTATACTGCTTTACTATTTAGCACCAGGTTTCCTATTGATTATTTGATTATAAATTGACTCTTGATAAGTTGTCCACATTTGAAGTCAGGACTGAAGCTTTCAAGAAGCCCATTTTTAATACTAAAATAAATAAATTACACTTCAAATTTATATCAGTCAATATTGTTTCATCAATATTTTGATGAAATACTTAAAATTTCACATTAACCACCAGATTTCCTTGCTTCCAAAATATATCTTTTCTCAACCAATCAGTGTAGGTAAATTACAGATATGCCTCTAATGATTTTATTTTATTTTATTTTCAGGACAACTGGATTGCTCACCAGGATGACTTTAACCAGCTTCTGGCTGAACTGAACACTTGCCATGGACCGGAAACAGCAGGTGGGGAGATCCGTGCTTCGTTAGTCATCCGATCTCTGGAAGATACAGTCTCTCAATTTAAAATACTTTTACCAACTATTTTTGTTGTAAGCATCACTTGTCTGCAAGTTCATTTATTGAAGTTATTAGAAACAGTTTTTGTCTGTTTTTTAATAGTGCTTTTATTGTGTGACCCTATTTCATTGCATGAAGAAAGCAAACATTTTTTTCTAAATCAAGAGAATGGCAAGGTAAGTCTATTCCATTTACAACCTCGAGGAGTAAAGTGATCGTTCTAGGGATTTTTGAGTGTGCCTAAAAACATTTTTAATATATAAAGCAAGAAATATCAGTTGGGACCATAAATGAGCAGCCTGCGAAGGCTTAATAGAAAAGCCCTTTTTGTGTTGATTCTGGTTAATGAAGTTGTTTTATCTTTTACTGTGTGTAAGAGATTTGGATTTCTGGGGTATAGTGAAATTCGTTGCAAGGGGCTCGCCATCAGAAATTGTATTCCTAAGCCGTAGGCACTAGAGGTGAAACAGTCGACCATTGTGGTTTCCATATCAAGTTCGCAGAAGGGTGCTGCCGTTGGGGGGGGAGGACAGGGTGGGCGACCCGTTCTGCTTATCCGTTTGTCCATTGACAGATGCTTGGGCCGCTCCTCTTCTCACGTCGTGGCTCTCGTGAACAGCGCTGCGAACATGGGTGTGTAAATGTCTCTTCGAGTCCCTGTTTTTGATTCTTTGGGGTTCATGCCCAGAGGTGGGATTGCTGGATCATACTATAGCTCTGTTTTTAAGTTTTCGAGGAGCCTCTGTTTTACACAGTGGCTGTCTCACTTCACATTCCCACCCACAGTGCACAAGCGTGCCAGTTTCTCCACATCCTCACCAGCGCTTGTTGTTTTCTGTGTTTCTCATAGTAGCCCTCCTGTGGGTTGTGGGGTGATACCTCATTATGCTTTCAGTGCACATTCCTCTCGTGATTAGTCAGCTCGAGCACTTCTCACGTACTGCTGGCCATTTGTGTGTCTTCTTTGGAGAAATGTCTTTTCCAGTCTTTTGCCCATTTTTGAATCAGTCCTATTTATTTATTTATTTATTTATTTATTTATTTTGGGGTTGGGTTCTGCAAACATTGTCATAGAGAATTGCTTTTTATTCCCTGTGCACAATGTTTGGCACATAGTGAACTTCAAACTGTGTTTCTCAGGTTAAAGGAGGAAGAACTTTGTGGAATAAAATAAACAATTTAGACTTGAGTTCAGCGAACGTTTGTTGAGCTCTGCACTGGATGTGAAGTTAGACCTGAGGACGTGCAGGTGTGTGAGACATAACCCCTGCTTGGGAAGCAGTGACAGAGTATCCTAGCAGGGGGTGAAACAGCATGCACCGAACCGCAGAAGATGCTGCTCTGCTCTGTGTGGGGCTGAGCCCACAATCTTCAAAGCAGAGGTACTTTGTGTTTTTGCTCAGGAGAACGGACTTCTTGTTGAAATCTGTAACTTGTACAGTTTTTATTATTATCCACGATGTAACTGTTAGAACTTCCCTGTGTGTGGTCCTGACATAAAAGATGACGATTTGCTAGGCAAAGAAAAACGTAAGAAAAGTGTTTTGTGAACACACTGACTGGACCACCGTTAGGAAATGCGGGATCTATGCCAAAGGAAAATTCAAGGACATTAGGCCTTACTAACTGTAAACAGAAACATCCTCACATTTAGGATCACAGTTAAAGTCAATAGAAATGTAGGTTTGTATTTTCTGTGCTACCTGGCTGCTTTTCCTCAGCATGCTCCTGAGATGCATTACCGAAGGGGAGTCAGTAAAATGTTTCAAGTGACCCAGGGACTTTGTTATTTGTCAGGAAGGTGCTTAGTGCCTGACAGGTTCCATACAGTGGTGCTTTGTCCTTGGGAGGCCCCGCCACAGATTCATCTGTGCAGGCTGGTTCTTTTCTGTGTGAGACAGAGAAGCATCTTATATCATTGGCAGTGGGAACGTTAGATACCAATCTATAGATTAAGTTCCACCTCAGGACCACTAGAGGGTGCTGGTAGCCCTGTGATAGGGACTGGGCAGTTGGTGGCCTGCTCCCTCTGTGTAGCTCAATACAGTCCAACCCAGTTGTGTTGCTAACTGCCAGTCCCTGTGCTGAACAACCTTTAGAAGATTCCTTTTAGGGAAAACCTGCCCAAGGAGTGGACCTGGAGAGCTGATAGATTATTTTTCTGCCATGTCCTCTCTATGCGAGAGAATTTTGGGTCACAGTAAAGCTGAAATTACTGTATTAAAGCTGAAGAGCGGGAGATCCAGCATGGCCCAAGAACAAATATTTTTGCTACAATATTTTTATTTTCTTAAGATTGCTAGCCCTGGCTGGTGTAGCTCAGTGGATTGAGCACAGGCCTGTGCAGCAAAGGGTCGCCGGTTCGATTCCCAGTCAGGGCACATGCCTGGGTTGCGGGCCGCGTCCCCAGTAGGGGACACATGAGAAGCAACTACACATTGATGTTTCTCTCCTACTCTTTCTCCTTCCCTTCCCCTCTCTCTAAAAATAAATAAATAAAATATTTTTTAAAAAAGATTGCTTACCAAATTCATACAACTTGCCTTTTAATTAAACAGATTCTATATCGTCCTCTGCATAGCGTCTTGCAAAGATTCTAGAAATAACCCTTGTCTCCTTGTGGGACAGAAAAACCAGTATATTTTTTAAATGTTCATTTTTATAAAAATTAATTTTATCTCAGTTACTCTCTACCAGACTCAACTTAGCTGTTTGGTGGACTTAATCTCATTGTTCTAGACAGTGTTTGTTACTTCCATCAGATATTTTGTTCGTTCTGATTTTAAATGTTTCTGGAAATGAACTGGGGTGCTGCGACCCCGTCGTCAGAGGTGCAGTTCAGGGCGGGGTTCTCAGGTTTTTGCTCACACATCCTCTAAGGGAATTTCGAAAACCCATATACCCTATCTCACATTTTTATATCAGTCTCTATGAAGTTTTTAATCATAGCTTTAAATAGTTGCAAAGTGCTATAATTTCTGGCCTATTGGGAAATATTGGCATTTTGAAATAAAACCATTACATTAGTCCCAAATATACCCAGGAGAAAAATGCCAGAGTAGTTTGAAACCGACTGCCACTGATTTAGGAATGCACAAACAAGCCACAGTCCCATTTCCTCTGAAACGATACGTTGCTTGTGTGTATCCCATAGTAGGTTATGTTAATACACTTTTGCTTAAACTTTTAAAATCTCATCATTTTATCGTATTTCCCTGACACAAAGCAAATACATAGAAATTTTTGGTTTACTTCCAGTACACTCAAGGCTTTAAGTGTAAATATTTTACCTTTGGGTTAAGTTATTTTAGTAGATTACAGTTACTAAAACAAGAAATACATCCTAAATTCTGATAAGCAACTATTAGGACAGTAAAATCTCTTCAGAAGCGTGTCTCTCTGCGACAGGGCGGTGTGGGGAGGGGCTGCTTCCACTATTCTGATTGAAGGGTGCTTCCCTCGCACCGGTACTTGGCTTGTTCCTGTTTCTCTCTGGTGGAGGACAGTTGTGCCTTTGTATTGGAAAGTGGGTGGAGGATGTGTGGGAGAAGTGGGGAAGGAGAGCCAGACTGATGCATCTACTCCAAAACGGAGCAGTTGTAGGGAAAAGGGCACGTGAACAGGTAGATAGAAAATCCCCTGAGGTCTGTCCCTGCTCCGATATGCTTTGGGAAGTTCGTGCTGGGAAGGTGGAGAAGACAGATCGCCAGCGATTCCTACATGGGAGAGCAGCTCTGTTGGGGACAGCGAAGGGGTTCCGAGTGTACACCCTCACTTTCATCTGCCTGGGTTGGAATCCCATCATAGCCCCTTCCTATGACGGGATTCCTCAACCCATCTGGGCTTCACTGCCCTTCTGTGAATAATCACAGCAGCTACTGAATAGGGTGGTTCTAAAATGAAATACAAACACGCATCGAGAGCTCTTAGTCTAGAGCCTAGTACTCCATATGCCTTCAGTCGACGATGGCTACTTTAAGCTGATAACTTGCAAGGTGATTTCTGTCTGGAACATCACAATTGAGAATATTATGTGCCATATGGAGTGTTTGGCCATAAAAAAAGGAGAATTATTCATCTGTGATGTTCTGTTTCTGTTACTCTGCTACCTGAACTTGTGGAAAGTCTTTTTAAAAAAATCACAAGCCAGCCCTGGCTGGTGTGGCTCAGTGGATTGAGTGCTGGCCTACAAACCAAAAGGTCACTGGTTCAATTCCCAGTCTGGGCACATGCCTGGGTTGCAGGCCAGGTCTCCAGTGGGGGCCATGTGAGAGGCAACCACATATTGATGTTTTTCACCCTCCCTTCCTCCCTCCCTTCCCTTCTCTCTAGAAATAAAGAAATACAATCTTAAAAAAAAAATCACACGCCAGCCCTGGCTGGTGTGGCTCAGTTGCAGTGTCGTCCCCCAGACCGAAGGGTTACAGGTGTGATTTCCACTCGGGGCACGTGCCCGGGTTATGAGTTCAGTCCCTGGTTGGGTGTGTTTGAGAGGCGAATGATTGATGTTTCTCTCCCTCTCTTCTTCTCTCTCTAAAATCAATAAGCATGTCCTCAGGTGAAGATTTTTTAGAAAAAAAAAATCACAAGCTATTCTTGGGAAGTGACTGCAGAAGAGAGTGTTTCAGGTTGTTTATATACTGGGTTAGCCAAAAAGTCTGTATGATTTTTTTTTATAAAATAAAAGACACATTTTTCATTTGCACCAATAACTTTATTGATTTGGGTATCTTGAGTAGGTGGCCTATCTCCTGCTGTTGGCTACAGGAGAGGTCAAGTGTGCTGCTAAATATCTTCCAATGCATAAGACAGCCCACATCAAAGAATTATTTGGCCAAAATGTCAATAGTATCAAGAAACTTCACGAACCACTTTTGACACGTTCGATCAGTGACAGCACCTTCTCCACACACTGCACAGATCTTTTTTTGCATTTCAGTTGCATTTTTACCTTTCTTGAAATAATAAAGCATAATAAGCCAAAAATGTTACATATTTTCTTCCCTCTTCAGCATTAAAATGGCTGCACAGAAATTCACCAGTTTTGATAAGATTTTGTTTAAATGCACGCTGGTATGACAGCTAACACAATATAATCTAACAAAATTGTTTCAAATGAAGTTAAAGACAACTAAGCACCACTAGAGTCATTGTACAGAAAAAATGAAATGAACTTTCTGGCCAACCCAATAATTAACCGACGTGAAGCATTGTCAGAAAGCTTAACACATTCATCTGTATGTTGTTAGAGCCTTGACTCTGTAAGGGCTCTGACTTTGCTTTTGGAATGATCAGGACCTAAAAAGGATTAGTACTAACATATTGTTTGATGGAAAAGAGCTTGTTTTGCTCCAGTAGTGAGGCAAAAAGTTTCTTTTTTCCCCCTATGCCTAGCTTTATAATTTTATTTCCTATTGATATAACTATAGGAAAATTCCGTCTCTCTTCTACCTATGACGTTCTGTTTCTATTGCTCTGCTACCTGAACTTGATGGATTTGACCAATAGGTAAAGCTGAGGGAATACATACAGGCAGGTTTTTACTGTCCTGTAGTCCACTCTAACCCTGGAGCTACTTACTCTGATATTTCAACCAACACACTAGTTTATGGCTCACATTTTTTGGTTTTGTCAGGGAAAAAAATCACATGAGTTTGTTCCTCAATGATTTCTTCTTCTTGTTTTTACCCTTAAAGATGAGCCACTGGTAAAACCTGGTATGTGAGGCAGTCATTCAGTGTGGCCCTGCGCCTTCACACTCTATGTGGCTGTCATCTCTGATCTGTTTTTTGATTATTATTAACCTGTCTTACCTTCATTTACCTTTTAAAATAACTTTTTATTTTGAAACCCTTAAAGACTTACAGGAAGTTGCAGAAGCGGTTCTGTGAAGAGCCCTGAGCACCGTTGTCTAGTTTCCCCAGTGGTGACGTCTGGCAGAGTGGTAGTGTGACCTCAGAACCAGGGAACCAACGCCGCTGCGGGCTGTTAACTAGACCAACAGATAGTGCTGGGTCTTCTCTGTATTTCATGCCGTGTGTGTGTGTGTGTGTGTGCGCGCGCACACACGTGCGTGCAAGCAGTTTTATCGCATGTGTACATTCATGTAACCACTGCCACAGTCTGGACAGGGTTCCTTCATCACCACCAAAGAGCTGCCTCGGTCATGCAGCCTCTGTGTTCACGCCCACTCCTGCCCTCTAGCCTGCAGTGCCCCACTTTCAGCCTTGTCCCCTGGAAACCCTCAGGAGTTCCCCTCTCTGTACTTTTGTCATTTCAGGGATGTTACGTGAACTGAGTCATGTAGCACGTGGATGGGCCTTCCTCACTGAGCATCACGCCCTTCAGGTCCATCCAGGATGTTGGGTGTGTCAGTAGCTTATGGTATTGCTCTTCCTTGCAGAGTGGTGTTGCAGAACAAAGGTGTGCCAGAATTTGCTCAGCCGTTCACCCACCGAGGGGATTTTGGGTTATTTTCAGTATTTTATAATAATGAATAAGGCTGTTATATATATTGGTTTGTAAATTTTTGTGTGAATACAAATTTTCATTTCCCTTTCTCAAAGATTGTATAAATTTCTGGAAAACAGGTTTGCCTGATTTGTAGTACACAGTTTAAGAAAAATATTTCTAATCATTTGGTTAGAGTTCAATAATAATTGATAGGGTTCCCAAAGATTTTATTTAAATAAAATTATGTCACTGTACAAGAATGAATGAGAATCGATTACAGAGTTTAATGGAATGCTTTCTCTTGTTTTTTTTTTAAGACTCCTCCTCAGACAACAAGGAAAAGAAATCTTTCAGCCTTGAAGAAAAGTCCAAAACCTCCAAAAACCGTGTTCATTATAAGAAATTCACAAAAGGTAGAACTAAGCATTTTCTTAATGTGTTGTTGATACCTCTGTGTTCACACTGGGTTTCTTAAAGCACTTTTAGCTCTTCACTGGCATTACATTTTATTTCCCATTTAAACAGGGAATCATGGGTGGCTGGACTGGACAGGTCCGGAGTGGGACCAAAGCTCCAGCCCTCACCGTTGCTGGACAGAGTGGGGCCGCAGCTCCAGCCCTCACTGTTACTGGACAAAGTGGGGCTGCAGCTCCGGCCCTCACCATTACTCTGCAGTCGCCTACTCAGAGGGTGGGCTCAGAGTCATGGGCTCTGCAGTGGGCAAAGTGGGGGCAGAAGGCAAGGTGGTATTTGAAGGAGAAAAGGGACTTTACGTGGCTAGGCCAGGAAGTAATTCCAACTGACTGCTCAACATTTTAAGTTACATTTTCCTGCTTTTCAAATTATAATGGTTGGTGTTGGGTAGCTCTTAAAAATTTTCAGTTTACAGAATTATTTTCTGTATTGAGATCTCCAGTTTGAGAAATCTCACTCCCCAGCTAATCTTTATATTACTGCACACCATTTCTTCATTTCATGATTCCATGGTCATTGCCAAGACAGTTAGAAAACATGGTTGACAACTGGGTGAGAAATCCTGCCCTTCCTCTACCGCCTCCCCACTGCCTTCCCAGTACTTGGAAGCAGTTGTGAGTGCAGCTGTCCCGCTGTAACCACTAGGTGGCGGTGTTGTATTGGTAAGAAACAATTGAACTAGAACTCCTCAACTCCCCAGAGGTTTTCCCGTAGAAGGGTATTATGCAGTAAGTGCACTTTCCAGGCACAGAAGCCTATTTATTGCATAATAAACTTAAAGTATAAGTATGATGATAATTTATGTTGTGATATGTAGGCATCATCTGATGGTTCTTCTGTGGGAGATTAGACATGTCTCTTTGCTTTAGTCTCGTTGGCGTTATTGGGAATTCCCTAACTCCTAGAATCACTGAAATTCCCACTGCTTTAAACTATTAATGGTGGTTCTCATGGGGCGCAGGACCCCAAAAGGTAGGAATGAGTTTGGTTCAATGAGAGTCCACGGCAGAGCTGAATGACACGGGGAACTGCGTAGCTTTGGGATGTGCAGGGAGAGACTGGTGCTTCCTTCTTGCCTGTCCCAGCAGGTGTGGCTGCTGGCCCTTCCTGTCATTCCTCCTTCTCTCAGGAGAGAACTTCTCTGTCGTTTTCCTGTATGGCTTCCAATCAGGGTTTCTCTCCACCCCTGACCTGCGCAGAACAGAAGACAGTCCTTCTTGGCCCTCAGTCCTTTTGAGGAGAGGCTACCCGGTCACATCATACCCAAGCCATTAAATGTCCTCCTTTTCTCATGTAGTCACTCCAGGAAAAAAGAGATATAGCAGAAGGGTACTGAGCAAGCTAATGACAATAGAAGAGGCCTACAACTTCTGGATGGCATGGCATCCTTTTAGACTTCCACTTTTACGATTGAAATATTCTGATTTTCTTTTAGTACCTGACTACTTACGTGAGTTCATCTGAAGCATTTTCCGAAGCCAGTATAAACCTCTTTAATCTAACGAATGCTGGAAGTACCTGCTTTCTCTTTCTAGTTAAGCCACTGCAAGTGACCCTGTCAGATTGCTTGGTGTGTTGCACCTTTGTTTTTTATCTTTTAAAATGACCCCCGCTTGTTAGCCTTGCCTGGGGGGGCATTGGTGTACAGGGAAGAGAGTTCCACGTCCGTCGGGAGAAAGGTGGCAGGGGAGATGAGTGGGAAAACCGAGGAAGCGCAGACTGTGGGTTAGTGGAGGAGACGCGAGAAGGAGGCAGAAATCCAGGTAGTCAAGGAAAAAAGTATTTATCATCCATCTTAACAGTTCACCGGGAAAGATATTTTGAAGTTCTTTAATTGACTGAAAGAAACATCTCTCTTGCAGAGCCACTGTTGGTGCAGCGCGTGAATGGCGCACTTCGCCTCCCCTGAGGTGACCGCCTCAGGTGGCGGGACACGGGCGCTGGCCTCCGCTCCCTTCTTCAGACTCAGTTTCCTCTTGCATAACGTGAGGGAAGATTATTAAAACACCATTGAGGTCTAAAATGGTTTCTGTTTTATGACATCAGAAATGTCCCCATTATATGGAACTTCCGATTGTTCGGCATTCTGGATAATGAGGACCTTAGCCTGTGGGTACGATCGTAGTGAAAGTAACTGATTCACTTATTGGATGAGGAGGGTTCATGCTGTGACTTTGTCTGTGGTCCACACAGTTAAAACATGGCATTTTATACTGCTCCATGTGAAGGGTGAAGATACGACTTTTATTTTAGTGAGATAGCATTGTGAAATTTGCTACTGCCTATCATTTTAGTTCTGATACATAATTATCTTTTTTAGTCCAGAATTTTAATTTTAATTTGAAATAATTTATTAGATAATTTCAAAAGTTAATTTCATTCATATTTGTTTTAAAAGCCTGACTTCGATGTGGTTTCTTTTAATTGAAAAATTGTTCAGCAATGCCATATCTGCAGAGAGGAAATCATAGGGAAAAGATCAATTTCTCCCAAATGACTTGCTACGCACAGTGAGGATTGTGGAGAGCATTGCCTTTCCCCCTGGCGGTGCAGCGGTGGGTAAAAAGTTGCTGACACTACAGTTGTGCAACTTCATCATGGTAACTGACCCACACTTCTTATCCCTGTGACAGTTTCCCGTGCTTTGCTTCTTAAACAAGGACACGACACGCACACCACATGTCCTGGGAACGGGCCTGCTCGTCTGGGGACCCAGGCTGCACTGCATCCCCCACGGCCGACTCCTCCCACCGAGGGATGGACATTAAGTTTCCTCCTCTGGTTCTGTTGGCATTAGACTATAAAGTAGCCCCACTGCAGGCTTTTAAAAATTCAGCTATCTTGTTATTATTTCACCTTCTACCCTAATTCTTGCCCATTTCCCGGGGTTCCGACACTGTGCCCACAACTTTTTTATCCTCCTGATTTGGGAGTGCAAATGAATTTTCTCAGCAAGTGAAGCTACCTACTTAAGCTTTAACTTTTTATTATAATAAATGTATTTCTCAGATCTGCATTTCTTGCCCTTATTCATTTACTGAGTAGAAAAACTCACTGTTTTCTCTCTAGAACTTGTTGGGTTCTATATGACTTTTGCCCTTAAACTAAAAAGCCCCAAATCTGTGATTCATAAATTCTTATGTTTTCTAGGTTTCCTTTGCTTCCCATGGGGACTTCTTGGCGTATGCTTGTGTCTGCCCACAGTGGTGATGCCTCCCTCCAGTCTTCTACTCTGGTGGCTGGAAGCCCCGATGTTCACAATTGCTAGAAAGACAGCTGAGGTGGTCGTGCAGAGCTTTTTTATCAGCTCATCCTGGTTTTTGAAATGCTGTGGCCAGTTAAAGATTAATAGACACATGAACCATGTCCAGACAGACAACGTACTTCCTAGTCTGTTCTTTTTTTTTTATTGCCATTTTCTCTAAGTTTATCAGTAATATTTGCTGTGATTTGACTGTCATTCAGAACTGAGACCAATAAGCTTTTAAACTTTTTAAATATGTGCATTTTATGTAAAAGTGGCCACACATAATTTTATAACATTTATAAACCATTCAGCCAGGGCCATTGACTAATAACTATTTCAGTTCTGCTCCCATCCCCATCTTTATCCGCCTCAGAGCTCCTTTCCATTGGTCTCTGACTCAGTTCTCCTCTGTTCTGTTTTCCAGATCAAATCCCAAGCAAGACCTGTAACAGTCCTGGTTTCCACATTTCCTTAAGTGCACTTTGCTAAAGGGTAAACGTTTCTGATACAAGAACCCACCACCCAAACTGTAGAAATACTTGCACCTTCATTGGTCTAGCTTACTCTCTACCAGCCTGGCAGTTTTCCCTTTGATTTTTAGATTTGCTTTTGATCTCTGTGTGATCATATTTTGACATCCTGTTTTAAAACTGCAATCTCGCATGTGCCCTGTTTTTCTTAATCACTCCAGCATTCCCTTTAGTTGACTTGCTACAAAAGCGATCTTCATTTGCTCGCCTTTGGCCTGCCTGTCCCGTTTCAGAAGGTAGTTGAGGATGGATAACTGCGCACTTCGAGCTAGTACACCTCCTTTTTCTGCAGTAGAAACTGCCACCTGAATGTGCTCTGCCCCGCAGTGGGCTGTGCTGGTGACAAGGAGGAGAACAGACCACCAGACCTCCTGAGGGTCTGCCTACCTCTCCCCACCACGACCAATTTGATTCCCCACGTTTCTGATTTATCTTCTGAGTTTCTGTCCGGGATATGCTTCATTTTGTTCTTAAGTCGGCTTCCCTGGGAGTGGTTCGTCGGGTTCGAGTAGTGGTCAGTCAGCACCTGGAGGCCTTTGTTCGGGCTCAGGGAGAAGGGGGAGAACAGCACAGAGCCCCGGAGGAGCACGTCCTTCCGGATAAGAACAGGCTGTGCTGATGGGACCGTTGGAACTGCTGCCGGTGAAACTGGTTTTGGCACCTGGCTCTGCATTAAATTGAAGGGTGTTTTGTTTTTTAATTTCATGGAGTCGCTGAGCAATATCATATTTGAATGCCCCAGTGATAGTCAGTGAACTAGAACCTTCTGGGTCAGGACATTACTTTGCAAAGTCAGTTTTGCTACGGGAAACCAAGAAGTCAGTCTGTGACAGTGAACTCAGACTTCCAACTCAAAACAAAGATTTTGGTGTCTAACCCAGAGCCTTGCTCCCCCTGAGCCTCAGACTTGACCTGTGGTAGTTACATTTTAAAGGGAATTAACCATGAAGTTGACAAATGGGAGTAGATTTGGTTGACTGCTCACAGAGTGTTTTTGGTAGAAGTGGAAATTCCAAAGAAGTGAATATTAAATCATTTGGTTTGTGGGTTTGAACTTAAAAAGTTTAGTGGTTTTAATAAGAATCATGGGTCCTTTGGCCACTGCTCTTGTGAGAAGCCATTTAATTTCCTGCTCTTATCATGTACCCCATTATTTAAAGCTGACATAGCACACTCTTTCACTGTAATCCGGTATTTTTATTTGCATTTATTCTTTTGAAATTTCATTTGTTCAATGAATTACTGAACGCCCGTGTGTCAAATGTAGTCTGTCTTCGTTCATGTGCGCGTGTGGGGTTTTGAAGGTACAAGTCTAGCAGCGCTTTCTGTTCTGCGCCCATAATCCTAAGTAGCTCATGTCTCCTTGAAGTAAATAAGGTCTGTTTTACAAATGGGGAAGCCAGAGACCCAGAAACTGTACCTGGAAGGTGCCCCAGCAGTGGGGTGGCTTCAGGATTGTTCTCCTCGCAGTCCGTGTGTTCTTGGTTGTTTCTGCTACTAAGAGGCTGCCGGTGGTGCTGGATCTGAAACACTTATTTGATAAGTGATTTTAAACTGTAATTTTATTAGTTAATTACAGGATTTTCATCTGTACAGTGGAGACAGAAAGTCGATAGTGTATAAAATTGTTTCTTTTTCAGAACTCAGTTTGCTTTTAGGAGGTTCATAGCTTGTATTTGTGCTCTGTGTTTTCCAAGATCGCTGTCACTAAAAGTCATCATATTGTTTTTCTAGGGAAGGACTTATCATCTCGGAGCAAAACAGATCTGGACTGCATTTTCGGGAAAAGACAGAGTAAGAAGACTCCAGAGGTATTAAGCCACATATATCTGATAACACATGTCTGTTTTCACAGTTTGACTCAGCTGCATGTGGAGCTGTTTATTATGAATAGTAGTTTTCAGACAAAGTTACCAAAAACCTTTTAGAGGCTTCTTACAAGGTCTAAATGCGATCCTCTTCATTGTTAGGGGATAATATGTTTCATAAGAAATCTTTGAAAAGGGTGCATGCTCTCTGGGTTTGGTCGTTGTGTGAGGACTAGACTGACCTGGGGGTGAATCCCACGGGGGATCCGTCCAGGGGGCCAGGAGCTCTCCTGCCTCCAGGAGAGGGAGGCCTCTCGCACACCAGCCGGTTTGTTAGCTCTGCTCAGTCCACACCCTCCGTGTGGGGTCTGGCTGGGGCGGGGCGGCGGGGGGGATATCATACCTGTCTCTGGTCTGTTCCATTTTTAAAACATTTTTTTTAAGATTGTATTCATTTATCTTTAGAGGGAATGGGAAGGAGAGAAGGAGAGAAACATCAGTGTGTGGTTGCCTCTCATGCGTCCCCTGCTGGGACCTGGCCTGCAACCCAGGCATGTGCCCTGACTGGGAATCAAACTGTGTTTTGTTTGGTTCGCAGGCCCGCACTCAATCCACTGAGCTACACCAGCCAGGGCCCATTTTAAAAACGTTCTGAAACACGAATTTGGATCGGCATTGGGAGTCAGGAAGGGACTCACGTGTGTAGTGTTCCTTCCATTGCACGGCACTGTTTGTTTCAGAACCAGAAGACAAGGAAGGACCAGGTGACCACACTACACCCTGAATGGGATGAATCCATACTTCATAACCTATTTGTTAGACGGGGCTGTGCAGTGTGGCACAACTTGTGCGTGTGTGTGTGTGCATGCGCCCCCGCACGCCAGTCCCAGTGGTAAGAGGCCAGCCCTGGATATAGTTTGGGTGTCAATATTAGATTTTTTTAAAACATGGATTTTTTGAGATAATGGGACCAAAGTACTTAAAATTGATGTTGTCTACAAAAATCTGGACTGTGTGGATGCTGCAGCTGGTACTCAGCTCGTTTGCTACGTCATGCGTGTGTTGCTGTGTTGGTTCTCAGCCCAAACCCTTGGTGACTAGAGAACAGAAAAGACTTGTTTCATTTATTTCTTACATTTTTCCAGACTGACAAACTTTTCCTGGGTAATAGCTGTTTGTTACTTGATATTATTTTCAAAGACTCTGGAATGGCCATTTACTAGAAATTTTGTTTGGCAGTTGCCTTTGTAGTTTGGGACTACATTTTTTATCTTTTAGCACTTTTGTGACCCTATACCCTTACCAGTGGGGACAGAGGAAGCAGGCCCAGAGAGGGAACCTGGGCCCCCAGCTTTCTAGGGGTGGTGCCAGCAGGTCTGCTGGGTCGTGTCAAAGACCCGTGGTCACTAGGGAGGAGGCCACCGGTATCAGTCAAACTGACTGTTCTCGAGGTGGCAGGAAAAGCCGAGGTCATTGGACAGCCCCGCTCCTGGTCATGCCTCTACCCCCGTGTGGTTGGTGTGTGGCCTGGGTTAGGCCCCTGTTCACTAAGGACTGTGTATCTGCCTTCTCTCGCTTTCCTCTCCAACCCCTCGCTTGACCGTCGTCAGTAATTTCAGTATTCCCAGGGAGACTCTGTCACCTCCGCTCTGCCCCAGCAGCCCCACCCGGGGCTGCAGCCTGCACCTGTGCACTAGCCCACATCCCCCCTGGAGCCCTGATGCTGACTTGCTGCCCCGCTCTCCCAGACTGGCATTCCCGCAGCACTGGCCTTTCCAGACCTGGGCACTCTTGGGTCCCTTGTCCTCCCTTTTCTCCTCGCTGCCCACAGCTACTGCCCCCAGCCCGCCTCTTCTCCAGCACTCTCTTTGAAGTTTTCCAGTTGAACAGGTCAAGGAAGGAGTACTTTTGATGGGCTTCTGGTAGAACTCTAAAAGCGTGTATGTGGTAAACATGAGGACATGTTTCGTTGTAGGGGATCAGAGGGTTCCAATCCTCAGCAGACATCTACTTGAGGACTTCACTGGTGCTCGATGCCCCGAGGTTCTCTGCGCTGTGCGGTGTTACTTGACTTGTCGATGGCATCGCCGTCTGTGGTCATGTTACAGTGAGCCTGCATTTGAGGGGACAGTTGCCCACCACCGGCCCAGGGAAAGTCTGCTTTGGGGCAGTTGATGTGGAGAAGACCCACCTTGATATAATGATACTATTTAATAATAACCTTGATATATTATTAAACAGTACTATTTGATAATATGTTATCAAGATGTTTAATAATGTGGATGATAACATATAGTACTACTCTATATAGTAACATAATAATAGTACATAGAATTACTAAATGATACTATTTAACAATAACCTTGGTATAATCTGTTTTGATGCCATTGACGTAAGAAGACCCACCTTGTTTTGTGCAGGATTCACATCCAGCCACATCCCAGTCTCCTGTTCTAGTTTCGTGTTTTCTTCTGCTGAGGGACTTAAAGCCCGAGCTGGTTGGCGGGTGGATTCACGTCGCCGTGCAGCCCTTGGCCTTCACCGTGGTTCTCAGGGACGCTTGTGCTCAGACTGCCTAAGGAGCTTTAAAAAACGCCAAGGCCAGGGCTCCACCCCACACCTAGCAAATCCACAACCTGGGGTCAGCTCGTGCATAAGCATTAAGAAAGGAAGAAAAATTTAAGGGGAAAAAGCCCACCCAGGTGACTGAGGTGATTATTCTGATGTGCAGTAAGGAGCAGGGGTTGAGAACCACTGGTGGAAGCCTTGGTATGTAACTATACAGGATGCCACAAGAGTAGTTTTACAGTTATCTGTATGGAAAACAGCACAAGAACTAATAAACAGTAGCCCAGTTTTGTGTTTTGTGTACCCACAATTGTGAACCTACTTTGGCTACCCTGTATTTGTAGTATCCGGCTTTAGGATCGCAAATATTGCCTAGAACAGGGCTTCTCCCATCTTAATACGTACATGAATCATCTGGGGGTTTTGTGCAACTGCAGATCCTGGTTCCCAGCGGTGGGGTGGGAGCTCCCAGCTGCCGCTGCCGCTGCCGCTGGCGGCCAAGCTTTGCTGCACCCACCATGCTGCGTAGGCGGGATCGATGCCGTAATTCACGCCTGGCACCTGCCTGTATGTATGTGTAAGATAGAACATATCTCAGTCTCAGTACATTTCCAGACACTGAATAAAAAGTCTTTCTGCAGAGTCACTTTTAAATTTAAATTTTACACACATAAGGACTTTCCTGTGTAGACTTTGTTTTCACTGAGGCACACCTGAATAAACTGTTGCTAAGAAACCTGACCTGTTAGTTACAACAGCCCTTATAGCCAAGGGCGGGAGGCCTTTGATCAGATGTGTTTGAACATACAACCTCTTTTGGCTCCCGTTCGCAGTTGGAAAGAATATTGCTTTGTTTTTGCTCCCTTGACCCCCATAGCAACATTGGCCCAACTTTACACTTGGCACCGCCAAGGCGAAGGTGCTGCTGGAGGCCAGGCAGCCGAAGAACCTCAGAAACCATGACAGCGTTGAGTATGGAGGCAGCGAGACCTCTCTGGGGGCCCTGGGTAAGGTGCTGAGGTTGATGTCTTCGCTGCATCTGGATTTAAAGAACATTGGACATTAACCACGTCTGGCTTGGGGTGGCCTCATATCCTCCCTCACAGTAACACCAGCTTACTGATCTCTACAACCCCTGACTGTTGGAGTAATAGAAATCACAACTTTATTGGCCGTCTGTGTGCCCAATATTCGGCTAGACACTTGGGGGTAGTATCTTACTTCACCCTCATAACAACTCCATGAAGTGGGCATGGTTAGAGCCTTTCCAGCAATGAGGGGACCATGGCTCAGGAATATTTGTTACAAAACTCCCAAGTGGCACAGATGGGACTTAAACCCAGGCCCCTGTGACCCTGAAATGTGTCCTTTCCTTTTACCACAGTCCTGCCAGTGTCACTTAACTTCCTTTACATTTTTAAAACAAATCTTCATTTAAATGATTTAGTTCTGCTTATCAAAGACATAAGTAGTTAATACTTTATCATGACTTCTTGGGAAAATGGTCGGCTGTTATTCTCATTCTGCTGAAAACGAAGTTTGACTTTTCAGACGTCTGCCCTGCCAGCAGGCGGAGTTGCAGGTACGGGTTGGAAGCACATTTCCAGTGCCCGGGCCAGCACTGGGGACGGCTTTGCTTTGTCGTCGGAGCTGTAGGCTGAATTCAGGAAGGGCTGGCTTGAGTTTCTGAGCATAGACACTGTGTCACTGGTGCATTTTGTGGTCTCTCAAATGAAGTGAATGATCTGAATAGGTTTTTATTGAAAAAAGCACTGTCAGCAGCCCTAGATTAGTAATAGTCGTGGGGTTTTGGATTTTTGTTTTTTAACTTCTTATTTTGAGTTAACTGCAGACACACTGGGAGTTGCGAAGCTCGTTCAGAGGTTCAGGGGTTCTGTGTGCCCTTTCCCCAGTCGCCCCGGTGGTTACAGCTGACGTAACTGTAGTGCAGGTGAAAGCGAGGACATTGCCAGCGGTGCGGCCTTTGCGGTCCTATGCCACTGAGCCCCACGTGTGGGTGCAGACTGTTCCCCCACCACAGACGTCTCCCTCGTGCGCCCTCCACTTCAGCCACACCCCCACCTCCACCCCTGGCCCCAGGACCACTGCTGCCAAGGGCACTGTCTCATTTGCAGTGGAATACACGTGAACGATCCGATCTCTCAGTTTGATGCCGAGTCTGCTCATGCCGATAATGATCGATACACAGGTTTTAAGGGCTGACTGTAGTTTGCGTTGCCTGCCTGCCTCTCTTACTCACGCTAGATTTTACGTGTTCTCTGTTATGAGTCTTTAGAGGAAGACTTGTAGAAATCAGATTGTTCAATGTCTTTAAGAAATCCAAACCTGTCGATTAAGTCTCTCACTTTACTCATTTTGGAAATGTATCAAACTGTAAACTGATATGTAAATGCCAGGTGGTACGGTTACTATGT